TTCACACAGTGGAATACTATGCTACATTAAAGAATAATGAAAGATACGTGAATCATCTCACAACGTGGATGAACCTGGAGGACATGCTGAGTGAAATAAGTCAGTCACAGAAGACCAATATTGTATGAGCCCATTACTGTAAAAAGACAAAGAAGGGTTTGCTTAAGGAAGGGAACTCACTTTGTTGGATACCAGGAAAGGGAGGGAAGGGGAGGGGATAATTTCGGACTAGTTGGGGGTCACATGTTGATTTGGGTGAAGGAAGGGACAGAAAGAGTGTGATGTGCATGGTGACAATGTGGAAAGGGAGAACACAGAAGCGTGCACAACAGATATAGACAACAGAGGCAAATACTAATACATGACCGATATTGCACTACCACTAACACCAAACACCAGGCTGTGGATAAATGCAAAGACAAGTGAGAAAATCAGGTGAAGGTCGGCAAACAGCACACCCTAGACCAAGGGTAGATTTGGCTAAAGATCATTTTATGGATGTACTGCTGCTACAAAATTAGCCACACACATTACAGAAGTAACCGAAGACAGAGTTGGAGTGACATCTTAGAGACAACCACACACCTTGAGAGAGAGAGTCACCGGGCCTGTGGACTTGGGAACGTAGTCTCAGGGGACATCATGCTCAATTGGCCCAACATAGTACATAAATATCTTGTTCTACAACCTACTTTCTTGAGTAGCGACTGGGGTCTTAAAAGCTTTTGGGCAGCCATCTAAGATGCAACTATTGTCTCCTCTCATCTGAAGCAAAGAAGAGTAAAGAAAATCAAAGGAATCTGGAAACAGTTAGTCCCAGGATAAGATGGACCAGGAGGACCTCACCTTCACGACCCTGACACTGGAAGAACTAGATAGTGCCCAGCTACCAATGCCAACCACTCAGAAAGGGTTCAAAACTGGAGATCCTGGATAGAGTGGGAGGGAAAATGTGGAACCAAATTCAAAAACAGAAAAATGACAGGAATTACTGGTCAGACAGAGACTGGTGGAACCCCCGAGACTATGGCCTGGGTCTCTGGGTTACCCTTTGGACCTAAAAATGGACTCAGTTCCATGGATTGGCTCTCAGTACTAAAGGAAAAAGACCTATATACAGAACACATACCCCAGGGTGATGCACCCACCTACTCTAGGGAAATGCACCCCTTACATCAATCAGCCATAAAATACCAGAGGGGCTGCATTCACATAGAAGGAGAACTGGACAGATAGGAGTGCGCAGTTCAGAAGGGCACAGAGAGGAGGTAGTCCCGAGGAAGGGAGGGGAGGAGGGATTTTTTACCATTGAGGATGATCATCAGGTCTTGAAAGCAAATGTGCATGAACTATTGAATGTAAATAAAATTGGCTGCATAAACTTTGCACCCACAGCACAATAAAATATTAAGAAGAGTTTGCAAAGACAAAGAAAGAAAGAACATTTTAGAATTCCAAGTACTGAGTTCCAAGTTCCCATAGGATAATGGCAGATGCTTAAATCCAAGTCTCTGCACACAGCCTTCAGACTCTATCATATTTTGAAATAAACTCACCTGTAATTCACCTGCATCCTAACAAGGCGATGAAGAATAGTATACAGTTTAATTTACATGTAAGCAGGACACAAACGTCCAAAGCGAGCAGAGCCAACGCCAGACTCACCCTCGAGAGAGCCGGAAGGAGTCCCTCCCTGGGAACTGGAAGGAAGGGTCTCTCGAGTGCATGGGACTACATGCCAGTCTTGAAAAGTCACTGCTTCTGATAAAGGAAGGCACATCTCTGGGAAGTTTGTGAATGAGTGAAAGAAGCAAGTGCCCTATGAAAACTACAAAGAGTCACCAAACGAGACGCACAAATCTCTTCCTGCGCCATCTGTTAAAGGAAATGCATTTCACTTTACCGACAGTAGAGGGTGCTCCTGTGCAAAGAAACTTAAGCCACCCAACCCTGTCGTCGCTGCCTGTGGAAAATCACCTATTGCTGCAACAAGAAAATATGAGCACTTTTCTAGTACTATCCACTAATTTCACTCTAAATACATATTCAAGAGAAATGAAAAGACATGTCCACACCAAAACGTATTCACAAATGTTCGTAAGAGCATTACTGACAAAGTCCAAAGGTAGAAATAATTCAAATGTCCATCAAGAAAAGAGTAAAGAAAACACACTATGTGCATACGATGGACTGTCACTATGCCATAAAGAGAAATGGAGTCCTGATTTACGACATAGAGACCCTTGAGAACATTGTGCTGAGTGAAGTCAATCACCAAGGGACAAAGAGTGTCTGATTCCCCTCATGTGGAGTATCTGGAATGGGCAAGCGTGTACAGACTTGAGTTTATTAGCGGTTCCCAGGGACAGGAGGAAGTCCAGAGGGGAAGGGGGATGCACTGCTTATGGAGCACTGAGCTTCTGCTACGAGTGACATAAAAATGTGCAGCTGGAAAATGGTGACGGCTGTACAACACGAACGAGCTCTGGTGGCGTAGTGCCTGAAGTGTTTGCTACCCAGAAGACTGGTGGTTCAAACCCACCAGCCACTCCTTAGAAGGAAGGCTGGGCAATCCACTTCCATAGAGATACTGCCTCGAAAACCCAAAGAGGGTTGGAACTGACTCAATGGCAGTGAGTTTAGTTTGGGAGCTCTGGTGGTGTACTGCCTAAGGCATTTGACTGCTAACCAGAAGGCTGGCAGTTCAAACCCACCAGGCACTCCTCAGAACGAAGGTTGGGCAATCTACTTCTGACTGGGCAATCTACTTCCATAGAGATGCCTCCTTGGAAACCCAAGGAGGGGTCAGTATGAGTCGGGACCAACTCCACGGCAGTGCGTTTGTTTTTTGGTTATGGAACATGATGAACATAAGCAATGTCCTTGTATTGTATACATGACAAATGTGGCGATGGCAAATATTATAATACATATACATTGACAACAGGAACCAAAAAGAAACTCCTCAATGAACAGAAAATGGCAGATGAGGTGGATGGCGTTTTACTCTGTCCTTCCTTCTGAGCCCCATTGACTTAGAGCTTGGCCATGTGACTTAGTTTGACCAGTGGCATGTGAACCGACGTGACAGACTCCAGAAGCTTTCAGTGTGACTGTGTGCTTTGACCTGAGTCTCTCGTGCTTCTGCTGGATCCTGGAACGAGAAGGTACACACTATGGAAGCTCAGCCTGGAGCAGGGCTCCCTCTTGTAACTTGAGCAAAAAAAAAAAAATCAATGTTTCTTTCTAAGTCACTAAGATTCTGAGGGGGTTTTCAACCACAACAAAAACTGACTACCACAGCAGACTACACAAACACAAAGTTACTATCAGAAGAAGCTGGAAACTGGTTATCAAAGTACTTCAGCCAATGAAAATCCCTCCCCCCATAAACAGAGAACTCCAAAGCACTGGAAGACTATAACACACAACCCCACCTGGGCTGAATACCCTAAAACAAGCATTTACAGACTTTAACAAATCTTTCAATCAGAAATTTACAATCACTTCCTTCTCATAGGAGCCTTGGTGGAGCAATGTTTAAGGCATTCATCTGCTAATCTAACGGGATTTGAACCCACCAGCAGCTCTGTGGGAGAGC